ATTTTTCAACCTGGTATTTTTTTTAGATTTTATTTTTCATTCTTTTCGTCTATTTTTTCGAGTTTAAAAAATGTGAGCTGGCTGGAGCCTTCATCCCTTGTCTATTTCTTACACTAGATACTAGCCGATACCCCCCCCCCCCCGCTCATAGGGAGTGCGTACAGTTGATCATAGTTCCTGGGCTCCCTGTGAGCAAACTAACCGTTCATTACCGAACGAACGCCTTCTCATATATAAATTATACTAAGTTATGACGACTGTCATTCCACAGAGCACACAAAGAAGAGACATTTGCCCGGAGAATGTGATTAACTTGCCAAACGGGACCTGGTTTGGATTAAATCATTTCTAGTATGGCGAGGTTTTGAAACGCGGATGCGAGAGGATATATATGTGATACGACTTATTCTACTAACATGAAACGTCACACTGCAAGATTGACTGCAATGCTAAGACATCATAAACTAAGCTTTATCATCACCATCACGAGGCCTCGGGCTCATTTTTTTTTAACAAACATGTTTTTTATAAGTTTGCTGAATTGACTAAAATCATGAATATAGCGAAGCTTTGGCGAACGACGATACTAGAATATGCACTAAATACATGCATGGCCACTCCCAACAACGAGCGTATGTATACACACTGCATACCAAGTGTTGCAAAGTAGGGGGAACATGATAGTAAACACTTCGATGTAGAGCTCGTTTTTTTTTTTATGCGGCGACGTCTTGGGATTTGATGCACAGTAAATATAGGCGTTGTCGCTCTAAACATTACTTAATATTAGCAATAGAAATGTAAAGCTCTATGCGGCGACGTCTTGGGATTTGATGCACAGTAAATATAGGCGTTGTCGCTCTAAACATTACTTAATATTAGCAATAGAAATGTAAAGCTCTATGCGGCGACGTCTTGGGATTTGATGCACAGTAAATATAGGCGTTGTCGCTCTAAACATTACTTAATATTAGCAATAGAAATGTAAAGCTCTGCATGCAATATCACGTCGATGATACGTAAACGCAAAGCACATACACGCGAAAGTAGAAGGGAGTAATATGCACATCACATCACAACAACAAGCACAGTATAAGCCTTTGGCCATTATGAGTAAAAATAGAAGCATAATAGGCAAGGTCAAGCTAATGTTAAGTTCCATATACGAGCATACAACTCTCCATTGCACGTTGTTCATTTGCCGACATTTCATTGCAAACAATCATGACTGGTTAACTACAAAACACAATGCGCTCAGTCAGGTCAACTTACCGAATTATTCTCGCAGCTTAAAGAGGAAAAAAAATATCCAAAGATTCGGTCTGGAGATAAAAGCAAACACAGATGAGCACGTAAAATAGAAAGTTGTGCTTTTAGGAATGACAGCAAGGCAGATATGGGCGTATACGACGCTGTCCCATGTCAAATAGCAGTTAAGTTCATTTTAAACAAAGGGGTGGATGGCTGCCAACGTAAATTGAAAATTTTAATACTTCAAATTTCGTAACGAGTACATGCGAACCACAATAAAGCCTGGGCTTCCATTCACCTCTCAATTTTACTATACAGGAGAGAATTTTAAAAGAAATCGCAGCATATTATTTTGTAAAATGCACAATCTTCATATTCACCGTTTACGAATGGTGCTACAGTAAACCCTGAACGCTATATACGGTGTATTAGTAAACACACAAGGAATGCATGGCGGTTTTATGTAATATTAATTACCCATCCCTTGCATACTAGCTAGGATGTGGGTATTGTGCCAGAGTACTCGACGTTATAGAAGTACAAACGTTCACGAGTTTAAGGACAGTGGACGGTTCGATTCGCGTAAGATTAGTGTACTATTATACGATTGACCTACGATTCGTACTCTTTTGACATACTTACAATTCACACAAATGTATATATGTGACAGTGTAACAATTTGTTTTTGTGTGAGTGAAAAATAGGAATCAATTTAATATTTTTTTTTCACACGAATTTCGTAAGTCTCGCTCACATCGTAAGTTACGTGCAGGTCCAAACCTCACCAAAACAAGTATTATTAACGGTTATTGAAACGCACAAACAACGCATGAATATGATTAAAATAAAATATGGAAAAAATATGGTCTCAAATTATCGACACCCAGTGCTAAAATATTAATTATTTGCCATGTACACTGTGGAAATTGACCCATATTTTTTTATTACAAAAATGTTGTTACACTGACTCAAATTATTATATGTTATGTTAATCATTTGAGTGAACTATAGGCATCTCAATGAATCGTACGTCAATCGTCCGTGAAAAGTAAGCGAATCGTACGTGAATAGTACGCGAATCGTACGTGAATCGAACTGTACACTGTCTTCACAAACGTCAAACGTGTTCAAGTCTGACTGTTTCGCTTGTACAATTCATACATTTATTTCATTGTGATTGAATAATAAATGACTTAAACAATGTACCCAATCGAGTACAGTGACATGGCACAATGCACAATACATATTGCACCCTATAGAAGAAGGCAGCTATGTTCATTGCATTTGACAACATTTTTTTATTGGACGAACAATGTCCACGTGACACGATAGGAAGGATTGTGTCAGTCTTATCTTTATTTAGCTAGGGTCGTTTCGCTGCACTGCTCAGAAAGATAACAACGTTATTTACTACTAATTTGCGGATATCCACACCCAAATAAAAATACATGTATCCCTGCCCAAATAAGGGAATCCATGACCAAATAAGAAATAGGTTACACGCATTTGCAGATATAAAGCATAACTCGCCACTATTAGACGAACACTGAGCGAAATACAAACATCCTTTAATGGAAGTTCTTTCAGGGGACCAGAAGGTTTGGATTGGAAATACATAATTTTGAAACCACGAAATAACCTATCACAAGCAAGATACAATAGTGATTGGTTTCGAACTTGTGATATTTTAATTAATAACATACTGATGAAATGGACATCATATCAATTCCAACGGCATACATTACATCGCGTTGCATCTGCAGGCAGATTTTACACGGTGTGTTTAAAATGTACATTCCCATCAATTTGCCTCCACGTATTTGATATAGTACTGCATTTACTGACAACTTTCCACAGACATATTTATTTTCAAATTAAGGCAATAACAAATGTCAATATAATCCGAGATCTCGTATTAATACGAGATGACATATTAATAATAACAAGAAAGACATACATATTATTATATATGCATCGTTGCATTTCAGATGTCCCTCACGGCCCTTCATAATTTGCGTATATTTTTTCCTTCAATAGCTCGTTAACAAAAATGTGCGTTTCTTTCGCCACCGACATGTCAGAGTGTCGCATAACCCACATCCTTTCAAAATATCGACTTCTAAATCCTTAGCTGACATCAACACTGTAATGTGCAGACAGTGTACATACCGTGTTATCCAGTATGTGACATACTTGTCATTCTGTAAATGAAATTCGCTTTTTTCTCTCAAATTATTTGTTTTCGTTTATTTAATATGATAATAACAACGGTTATTAGCAGCATAAGTGTTTTCTGTGTTAGAGAATAACGAGGGTATTTGTATATATTTGGAGCCGAGGATAACATTACCATAAGACAAGCGATACATTTCAAATTGTTGTAGATTAAGAAGTTCCGAGATTAATCCCGCGGCTATAAAGTTTCATTGTAACAACAAGACACGGCATCCATACTCTCAGCTGCATCTGTCAATGACTAATAAGAAATGTTACTGGGAGTGCTGATCGCTCATTTATATTCATGAGCTAATTAATTTTCATAAGGTTTGTCAGACTCTGAAAATACCCAGATTGTTTTGGGTGTTGCCATGTGAGTACTGCATATAACAGAAGATAGAAGCTACAGAAAAAAATGTTTCATATCATTGTGTTATTTATTTTTAATTAATTAAATAGCAAAAACTGTGAGATTTCTATAATACAGTTGGCTAGTTATGGTCAGATGAATACAGACAATTTTTTTGATTTTTAGCAAACCTTTATTTATCATGACATTGTTCAATAAAAATTATATGCTCTATATACAATTGCTAAAATTACAATACAAATTGTTTATTAAAACGAATTACATCGTTTATTATATAATTCAGTATATAGGCTTGTAAAATAAAGGTGATATATGTTGTAAATGTCTAGGTAATGTTTTTGATTTTAAAAGCATCAAGTTATTATTACTATTCAAATTACGTCACATGTGGTTCAGAAAGGAACAAACAAGTTTTATACGATATATCGAGGGAATATCAGCTTTTGGTCATTAACCTCTGCTAATCCGCTGTTGATACACCAGTGATCTATTAGACAGTCCAGTTTCTTTATGATTTTACAGTACCAGTATTCACCTTCTATTCTGTAGCGTAGCCTTTCCTTGAACATATACTCCTATCCATTCATCCTATTTCGTCTGGTCAGATGGATTGCCATTTTAGCAGATGGAAACAGGAAGTTCATAAGTTAGGTGGTAGAGCTATCTCTGTTTGGACTTGGAGGGCCCAACACAAACCACAAATGAGGGTATTTCATATTTGTGGAGTGAAGCTCTACACAAAGAAGGTGAATTGGTTTGAAAAGTGGCTGTAACCGGGGACACTGTAAACAAATGTGTAACCGATCATCTTTTCCATGACAGAAAGAGCAATCAGCCGTATCTGCATAAGTGCAAGAAACCATAAATTGACCAGTAGAATAGGCACCATATAGAGGATTTGCCTCTGTAAATCGCCTTCTCTCTTCAGTATGGGAGGGAGATAGCATAATTTAAAACACAGTTTAACTGATGATGGTAATGAAAGTAAATCACGCTAAACTGTGTCAAGGTTATTGGGTAGATGAGAGTGCAGTTGAGAAAGAGTTACTAATTTATACAGAACTCCCTTTTCACGTTTAGACAGTGGGGTAATTAAAGAAACGGAACCATTACTATACACAAGATCTAAACTGTAACTGCTGTCTGTGTTTGTGTCTTCGCTCTGACAGTTGTTTGAGAATGTATAGTGCTTTCTCCAATAAACGTAGTGAATAGATTGGCACTATTTGGTGTAACTCAGCACAAGTCATCCAGCGATGTTCATCATGATTAATCAAGACACCGATAGTACACAACCCTGCATCTACAAAGTGCGTAAAAAAACATGCAGAAGAAGAAAAGAAGGTGACAGAAAAGCTAAAAAAATATCAGAGTCAAGTTGAAATATTCTTTAAAACTCAAATCGAAAAGCGAATCGATATGCAGTAAATTCTGATGGTAAATTTGCTTCAACGTTAAAATACATATATACCTATAGTTCAAATGTCAACAAAATGGATTTAAAAAAACAAACTGATTTTCAAAACAAAAATGAATTTTAAAAATGAAAATGGATTATAAAAACGAAAATGGATTATGAAAATGTATGTTAAAAACGAAGATGGATTTCAAAAATACAAAAGATTTTTCAAAACGAAAATGAATTTACAAAATTTTGAATTTTGCTCAGCGTGTATATTGGATACCGAACAAGACACTGTATACATGTAGTCCACAATTGACGGGTTTCGAGTTAAGGAGCGTGTTCTATGTTTTCCATATTACCGAACGTGCTTGCAACAGAAAGAGGATAGATTTTACAACCGGTCGTCCATAAGTATGGTTGCATCAGTTTTTCGCGATTCGATTTTCTTCGTCGGCGCGCGTGGTAACTAAGCAACCAAGGAACTTCGGGAAGGATTACCTTCTGTAATATCCAGATATTCAGATGCCATAAATTATGCTTTTAACCCTACATGCAAGTACTTTGTAAAATTATTGACCGAATTTATTGCGAATAACAAAGAAACGTGTTCACTTATGCGTGTTCAATATCACAGAGTGCAGCTAGGTATTAATTTCACATTGTCAGTGGTAACATCGTGGAGTGCGGATGATGTATTGGGGAAGGGGGATGGATGGGTGGTGGTAGAATGCGAATATGATTATTTGAATATTGATTGCTATTGTTATAGTAACCATATTATAACGCCTTATTCTGGAATCATATCCACATGCAACTGCCAACACGTGCTGTCCTTTAAACGCGCGTAATTGAAATGCGTACGCAGCTTTTACACCTCACTTAAACCTATCTCAATAAAATTCTAGTAGACGCCGTATTGATAGGCACTGGGAGTAAAATACACGGGTAAGTTCCCAGCAAGCTTCAATATAATTCAATAAAACAATCGGAGGGCTGAGCGCAGTATATTCTTTGTGGAACTCGGTACCGCGTCCATTTACTTAGGTCTATTAAATCAGCACACCCTGCTCATCCGCCATCTCAACGATATCGTGTTGTAGCCCCGCGGATTTCTTTTTATAGTTTCTCGATTTGTATCTCAAGATAGATTGTGAAGAAGATTACAATTTCATT